TGTTTCTCCATGTTTAATTTATAGTAATCAGTTCTCAATATAAAAGTCTTAGTAGGTGGCATTTTAGTAATTAATATTAATTTAGATATATTATTTATAAATACTAGTATTGATAAAATAAATTATTAATTATTAAAGTAACGATAATGAATGTACACAATTTACTGCCACTGAACAGTTGCTATTGATTAAAACTATCGCCATCATTAAGCAAAGTTCCTTTCAAACTAAACAACCCCAAATGTGTTCAATTAACTAATCAACGTATCAAGTCTATTTATAAACATCTTTTGTTGCAATCAGTACTTTATAAAAAATCTAAATTTTATTCTATTATCAATTGATTTTAATTACTGTAAGAGGTTAAAATAAGTGGCTTAGGAAATAATAATTATTAAGTTTCTTTATATATACTAATGAATAAGTAAGATCATTTGAGTTAGAAATAATATCAAAAGTAGTCTTTGGCATAAAAAAAATAACTTTAAAATTTATCAAGTAAACGAATACTGAAATAATTTCCGTAAATACTCGTTACCGGTAAAACATGAAAAAGTTGTGTTAAATAAAAACGAAAACATACGAAGTTAGTTTCATTTAGTTGGATCATATACAATTTTTTATTGAGCACCAACTTGTAAAATGCCTAAAGCTATTGCCAATTTGTATTATGCCCTTACGCTAAGATCCGTGATCATATATGAAATATTATAACCGGAGCTGGGGTATGTTTGGCTAGGCTTACATATAGAATCTTTATAGCCTGTTGGGAACATTTTGCTTCATACCGGGTGATTCCATTGTTTAAAACCTCGTACAACGCCTGCCTAGTTTAGGGAAAATATTGAATAAAATTACCTTAGGAGTATATTTTCTTCACTGCTTTGCGAGAACTGCCTATCTTGCTTACACACAATATTGGAGCGTAGTTACTTGCTGTAGCACTTGCTTAAGAAATAATACTTGTTATGGTAAAGTATAGTCTGGAATATTTTCTTTATGTATTATATGAAAAATATTCATTGACCACTGAAAGATAAGTTTTTGTGAATTAGGAATGTATTATTGTTACATGGGTTAAATCTAAGAAAGGACATTTAGTTGCCTCGTCCATCTGGATAAAAAAGCTGTAAATTACTTTTTATAATTTAAGACAATAATTTATTTGCTTGAATACCCAAACATAAAACATGTATATTCAATATGGGGTTCTAACTTAAAAAAATGTAAAAACAACCATTAATAAAACTGTTTAATTTAGGATAGAATACAGTATGTACAGTACAACATTATTGCTTAAATGTGTTTTTTTGTTGATGATGAAATTGCCAGCACTGAATCAGATGTTGAATATAGGTCATTCTTAACCTCACACTTGGCATACAGTTGACGTTAATTGTAGGCTATTTGTATCCGTTTTGTTATGTTTTGTCTGGATTGTAAACAGTGTGTATGAAGTGATTTGTGTCATAAAAAAGTTTATGCTGTTTAATTTGTAGCTTCAAATTGCATTTTACCATTGATAAAACATACTCCCTTAAAAGATTTCCCATCCTTATGGAACAGCTGAAGCCAATTTTACTGTTAGTTCTGTCCGGTGTACTGTAGAGTCGTGTTTTGTTTACAATTCGTTTCTTGCTATTTTAGTAATTTAAAACCCTTTAATAACCAAATAAAACTATCTAATCATAAACAATAACATGTCCACTAGCTATATAACCAAACAGTGAGGCGCAAATAATGAGAAACTAACCCTAAAATAATAGAAACAAATTGTAAAAAAAACACAACATCTACTACACTGGTCAGAACTAACAATAAAATTGGCTTCAGCTGTTCCATAAGGATGGGTAATCTACTTTATGAGTATGTTTTATCTATGATTTTTAGCGAATTTCCCTATAGGGAAGTAGCTATTACCGTAGGTCTCATGGTAAGACTTAGGCCCGGGACCGATTTACTTTTTCATTTTAATGTCCCCAGAGGCCAAAAACACCATTCGTTCAAATTTTTATATATGTATATATATATATATATAGGTATATATATATATATATATATAGATTTATATATATATATATGTGTCCGTGAACACGATAACTTGAGTAATTTTTATCCGTTTTTGATGAAATTTGGTTTGTAGGTGTAAGGCGGGATAAACTTGAATGAGTTTGCGATCCAGCATGATCGGACCATGGGAACAGGGTTTTATGGGGGGTTTTATGGGGTAAAAATTGGTTTTTCTCACTTCTTACCCTCAAAACACAAAATTTCCCAATTTTTCTCCAAACCTTCTTAAAGAGCTTAAAAAAACAAACAATTCAGTATATCAAAGTGTTTTTGTACGATTATTGGTTACGGAGAAAACTAAAAAAATGATAAATTTAAAATTCCCATGTTATTCTTATGGAGAATATTGTAAAATGTTGTAGTTTGCTTGTTTATGGATATATTTTGATCAAACTTGGCAAATTTATTTATTTTATAGTAAGCTATCAATATTTTACTAAAAACACACTACTTTATTAGTTTCCTTGTAGCAGCAAACCTAGGTACTCGTTAAACCTAATGTTATTTAAATAGATCAATTGAAAATCAATTCGGCCAAATGGAAATTCGCTTAGACGGCAGGTTTGCTGCGGCGGGGGTATCTATGATTTTACTTTTTAAATATTTTAGGCTAAAAACTATGTCTAGTCTAATAGTTTGGCCATCCTCTTAAAGCTTAAATACTTTGTAGTAATGAATCGTGCTTATACTTAATTTTACTGTAAAGAATAACCTCTCTGTTATAATTGGAACTATTGGTGTGTGAAGTGGCAATTTGCTGCAAACGAGAGAAATGTTTACTATAAATCTAGTTTCTTGAGTGCAGCAAAAGCATTTTTCCTACAGTTACCTAACAATGTACATGTTCTCTCACTGATTTGAGAAAGCAAAGTGGCCAATTCGCTCATCAGTGAGACAATGTTAACATTGTCTCACTCTAATTACTTTGTCTCACTCCAGATTTGCAACGTGAAGGCACGAAATAGTGAGCGCGTAACCTGCAGGCAACGTCGTCAATTTCTCACTTTTCTCACTAGTTGCACAAATAACTATTGCACTCGTGTCACACATTATCTTTATCCTACAGTTAATATAAATCATATGAATAAATTGTCTTTGCAACACTGTACAACGCGATTTTAGGTTAGGTTAAATCCAAACGTTGAACGAAAAAGGAAACCCATCACCAGCTGATCGTAGTCGTAATATCTTTAAGTGTTGCCAACTTATTTTCAAGCGTACACAGATTACCTGTATGATAAAAGCACGCTGTTTTGTGTTGTTTGCTGGGAATACTGGTGTGTGCCAAAGTAAAAACTGTACTCCAAAGTAAAACTGCGTGTCAAAGGAAAAAAACAGTGCACTGAAGTAAGGATTTTTGGACTATAATCTGTGCAAGAAAGTTCACTTAGTCAGGTGACTGTAGGAAAATCTTTTTTACAACTACGAATGTTACATATGCTTCCGGTCTCTAAGAAAAAATATTTAGTTGAAGATTTCATTTGTTATGAATAAATAAAATCAAAGTAAGACCAAACCTAATGCATGTGCTTTATGTAAAAAAAAAATATTTTAAACTACGTTTTAATTTGCAGTGAAAGTTCACACAAATGTTGGTTCTATTTTATAAAATAAAAAGATCTTATATTGCAAATTTATTCCAACCCAGAATTATAAGGCGTGAACTTGTAATGTAAATGGGAGGGTTGCCACGGACGATAAGTTCCAAGATATATGGAGCCCGCAGGTAGTTGGACCGTGCTCCCTGGCCAACCCTTGGGGAAACCTTTTTTTACTTCTAAACCACAAAATCACCGTTCCAGAAAAAAATCTGACTTGGAATTATACTTTCATGAATTTATCTCAACCACGTTTCAAATTTGTTTCAATGTGTTTTAACTCGATTGAAAAGAATTTAATTAACAGCATATTAATGATTAACCATTAAACAACTTTAAAAAGTGTTTAACAGACTATACTATAAACTATAAACTTTGCGAAACATATCCTATACCAACTAAAAATTTAATTTATAAATAACAGTTCGTTAGGCTAATTTTAATTATACTCTAATTTAAATATAAATTATTTGGCTGGCACCATATATGAACTATAAGTACAATTTCTGTATAAAAAATGGTTTTATCAGTAATAGAATTCCAAATATGTTCTGGCACATTGAAAAGCTAACTGCTTATTACACCTCTGCACCTATAAGTCTAGTAACTAACCATGTGAGATTTTTATTATAGACTTAGTGTCCTAGGACCACTTATTGAATTAAATGGTTTATATTACATTTAATTTTGTGAGATTGTTCCATAACTTTAAAAAAATAGCCAATTTGCGAAAAAATATTGAAAATAATTGTTTACCGCAACCATGCGTGGTTGTTGACGGACGCATTAAATAAGTAAAATACTGTAAAATAATTTTGTTTATTTGTTTAGTTATAAGGTAAGGGAAAGATTTATCATCAGTGTGATTTTTTACTAAACTATATAGGTTGATTCTAAAGATCTTTAATATACTGTTAAAAGACGGTGTAGTCTAGGTACAGTGATGGAATGTTTTGTTGATTAATAAAGTAAGGGTAACAGTCATTGGCATGACATTAAAATACATCTCACAAACAAGTACTCTAATATGATATATCCAGTATAAAATGTAGAAATTTCAATGTTTTATTAATGAGTTTACTTAACTAGATGTTGTATTCATTTGGAGTGAATTATAATTAAAAGTAAAGTTATCGGTTATACCTTCTTAAGTTATGTTTCGATAAACAACACGTTAGCTAGTTTCTAGGGTTCTCCACTACTATTCTCTAATAGTGTCGATACTCGGGTGAGTTTCCAACCCTCCTAGGTAGTGATGGGTGGGGGAAGGGGGTTTACTCATGCGCTTACACCCTTACACCCTCGGTACCAGCACAGTCGCGTTGTGACGATCCGCGAGGACGGGTCCCTCAGCAACCAGTCTCAGCCCCGGTGGATATTTCGTTGAACTGGTCGTGCGGAACTGTTTCATACCATGTTTAGATAGCATTGTGCAGTCCATTTGGATAAACCTACAACAGAAAAGGTACTTAAAATTAAGATATAACTTTTAGCTGTATACTTCCACTGTAGTACGATTATAGGGAGTTAAAAGGAATGTTAGATAAATTTAGGATTTGTCTTCTACCTACAACAGTAGGGATGTTTCCAATTATAAATATATTGAGGCAATGCTTCTTTTTAAATTTTTTTAGTTATGGATAAAGGGCCTTTTTCAAAAGTTTAAAGGCTTTGTGTAGAAAATCCTAAATGTTGAAATAGAAACACGTTTTAAAATTTTGTTTGGCTTAAAGCTAGCAAATTTTTTAATTTCCTAAACAACCATAAAAAATTAAGTATAAAAACCTTACAAAAAAATTTGATAGATCAAGAAATATGCTAGAGAAAGATGTTGAGTTAAATTAATCCAAGAATATACCTTTAGAGTTTGGTCAATCTTAAAGGTGCGTTATATGCAAAATATAAGTCTTAATGAAAATCACTTTTGTAGCATATGAAGAACAAAATGCTGCATATATTGGCGTCATTCAATTTTATATTTATAACTAAAATATCCAAAACAATCAATATGGAAACGAAACAAATCAGCCCACTCAAAAAGAATCAACCAAATGATTTAAACCAGATTCTTAATCTTGTTCAACTTTTTCTCAAATGGTTTGTAGACCTTTGGGTTATTTGATTGGAGATTTTATGGTAACTAAATATAAGACAATTACCCAGGATATGAGGGATTTTAAAAAAACCATTTAGGTTATAGCTGGAAAAAATTAGTTTATATCTGTGATTTGTCTCATAGTTATGTCATGCACTCAAAGTATCATATTTTTAGATATATATATATTTTTTTTTAATGATATCCATTATAAACATGTTTATCAAATCCATTGAGACTGTCCAGATTTAAAACAGATTTTTTTTAACAGAACCGATCTAATAAGACTTAAAAATAATTCGTAATGGATGTTTTTGAATCGATTATTTTTCTTTAAGGACTTTAACATAAGTTTGCTCCTGACAAAAACTACCTCAAATAAGACAAATATTTTTTTTGTGAGGGTTGTTGAATAAATTTTACAGATTAAGGCCTCAATATGGGCGTTTCAGTTAAATTGTTTGTCCTATATACTTATGGGGCATTTATATATAACGTCCTGAGAATTTGGAATACTGCTTTACTTCTATATATAGTTGTTTTCCCTGCTTTTAAGATAATAATTAGAGTTTTTTCCTATTTTGTTGTGTAGAGAAATATAGGTATTTGTTATTTTTATGTTTATAAGAGATTTAAATTGTTGATGTGTAGAAGTTTATTACGTTCTATAGATTGAATTATAATGTGGGTGTTATCAGAAAAAAACATATTAGGTCAATTTGACTGGGGCGGTGGCGTCGTCCTGTAATCCAGCTACTAGTAGGTCACGAATTGTGGATATTTATAGGCATGCACTGTGGATGCGATTACCTGGTGTGTATTAACATATACACTAGTGAGTACTAACACTATCCGCACTACTATCCTGATCTACTATCCTGATAATTAGACAAATTCGTTATACCAAGGCAAACATGTGTTTCGGATCCCACTATAAACTGTAGGCCCTTTAGTTTCCATTAGATGTATGGGCAATTAAATAACGGCTGTGTCTACATACTTTGTACGGTTGCTATTTCAATAAAAAGTATTAAAGTATAATAGCTTACAGATAGACTTTTGCATCACTTACCATATGTAGCAAACCCTTTACACTGGATATAAACAACAGTGGCCATCGAATTGATCTTTTTTTATTTTTTTTTTACCAGTTTTTTTTTATTAATAGACCAAATTTAATTCTTACATTAATTTTACAAATAAAATATCGTTTGTGGGTGTGGAACCAATTATGCTGGCGGCATTTCCTTTCTGTATGGCCATGGCAATTCGTTATATTAAGTGGCTCCTTGCTTTATGGTCGCCTGTTTTTTCTATTATCCTTTTGTTATTACCTTATTACAATGTCTTCATCTTTTACCCAATAAGGGATTGATGGCGTCAGAATTTCAATACACAAAATACAACTGATTCAAGAAGATAGAAACATACATATTTACAAAAACTTTGGCATGTGGATTTGCGGTTTAGTCAGAAAATTCAGGAAATGTATCCTAAAAAAATACTTTAGTGAGTAGTATGCTCTTGACTTAAGGAGAGGGACGAGCTTCTTCGTAAAAAGTTTACGCCTAAGACGCTTGATTGAATGAGGTAGCTTATTAAAAATTTGTATTACCACTGTATTGGAACTCCTTTGCGATCTTACAAGCCTAACCCTAGGCACATCCAGTAGCTCGTGCTGCCTTGTTCGGTGGTCGTGAAATGCTGAACGGAGTTGGAGCTTGTCGTAGTTGTCATATACTCCATACTCATTTTTGTTACTCCATACTTAACGCTTTGAAGTGAAGACGTTAAATTGAGATTATTGTTTCTTTTCACCTACTATACCAACTGATTTCTATATTTAAATATGAGTTCAACCCATTTAAATCCATTCCTCGATACCCAATAAAACAAGATTTCCACTTACTTGGAATGGGACACAGAAAGGAAAAGGGGGACACTGGAAAAGGACTCTAAATGATCCATTAAGACCCCAGTGGCATTAGCTCCCCTATTCACCAAATCAATTACTGGACCAATAGATTAAATACTTGCACTGATCACAGACTTTCCAGATGAAATTTATGTAAACCATTTTCCATTTAGTTATTGGTTTCCATAAATTATGTTAATTTGATACTTATAGCTTTTTAATAATTCTTCAAAGAGGAAGATAAATGGTATAGTTTAATAGTTTGAAAGAACTTAGAGGTCTTAATTTTAAAAATTGTTTCAATCTGAGACATTTTTAGTTTTTAAGTAATGATACTTTTGATGAATAAATAGTTCGCAGGAAAAAGGGAATTTTTCCTAGTTGAAGGAGAAATTTTAACGTATTTGAAGAAATTAAGCCCTTTTTAAAGATATCCAACGAAGCCTATTTTTAACGATTTGGTCATAATAAAATGAGTCTTCCATATTAAGTGCTACTTGAGTAGACATTGTAAATACAAAAATAAAATTCCAGCTGCAGTTTATTCGATAATAGATTAATGAAACAATAAATGATTAATTATTTGTGATGGTTTAAAAGTAGCGATAATGCATGTGCACAATTTACTGCTACTGAATAGTTGCTATTGATTTAAAGTATGACCCGCATTGTACAAAGTTCATTTCAAACCACTTACCACAACCACCCAATTAACTAATCAACGTATCGAACATATGTATAAACATCAACTTTTGTTGCAATCAGTACTTTGTACAACATTTACTCATTTAACATGTACCACGATTTTACCGCAAAAGGCTAAACACGTATTTCAGTAAGAAATTATGATTGAAAGGTGTTACGAAAATGTATTAATTACTTATTTACTATACAACGATAAGTTTATCTTGATTTTTACCCAAGAAAAGGATAATAGGAAACTATCAGCTGCATTGTTTTCAACCTTTAAAGCTCTTAAATAATTCATTATAAGAAACGAAGCCCTACATTTTACACTGGTTTTATACTTGAAGCTTTACTTTTGATGATAACAAAGCTCAGTAAGAACATTAGAACTTCTGGAAAGACAAAAAGAAGTAATGGAAAATTAGTTGTTGAAGCATAAACAACTAGATGACTGGTGCTGATGACCAGCTAGGAAAAACAAAATTCCATTTATAAACATGAACTGCTCTAGATGGCTTCTGTAATTACCATCAGTTTACGAATAAACAGGCTTAAGTCGAAAAAAAGTGGAAAAGAGTAGAAAAATATAACCGTTTACCTACATAAAATGTATTATTGTATAAGTTTTCAAATAAAGTCTTTATCCATATGTAGTTGAGTTTACTGTAAATTGAACAGTGATTTGTTAAAAGGGCACATATTATGATCAACCCGAGTAAAGATCGTTTTGAAAATTACACAATGAAATGATTAATAATTTCACGCAAATAGGTAGGTTGCTAAATGGTTGTTTCCAAACCATTCTTTGCATTACATTGTGTTACAGTGGTGTGTTATAGCCACTCTACAATGTTAAACAAACGATTTTTATCATTTGCACTCGAGTTTACTTATTGTATGATATTCTACTTTCGAAAGTTTGCGACAATCCCCCCCCCCCTTCTCTAGGGGTACAGGTAGTAGTGGGGGTCAGCACATAAAGTGTTTATACTGTAACACATCATAGGCAGATCCCGCACTTATCTTATGTTTCATTTGTCTGTGACCAACGTAAAGTTAAAAATAAATTTCAACTGAAAGGACAAAATTAATAGATTAGAACATTGTCAGTGGGTGATAACTGATTGTCTTGAGAGGGGCAAAATAGAATAATCCATTGGACTGAAAGTGTAACACCATTGTGAAACAATCTTCTAAGCAGGGGCTTGGAATTGCTTTGATGTATTTTGTTTATCTATTTTGTGTATATATATAGAATAGTTTAATACAGTTTTTGTTATTAGATAAGAATTAAAAAAGTACTCTTGGAATATCATTTTATGGCCAAACTAATTTCATGGAGACAGTTTTTTTTCACCATAAAACCACCCAATAAGAAATTGGGTAATTTATGTAGTATATTATTACTACAAACTAGTTCCGTTTATATTACTTACTTTCTGTACGATTAGAAGTAAGGTAAGTAATTCTCAATATCAAAAAGTGAATTTTTCTATTTATTTACTATTTCTACTACAACAATATAATTTTTTGTTATTATAATATTTGAAAAAACAATTGTTAGAGTCTTATATGAAAGTATTACATGTTGATTTATGCCATATAGTGATTTCAGCTTAGCGATTGATATTGGCAACACTGCGATGACGGGATTCAGTAGGCAGTGCCAAAATATTAGAAGTTGACAGCTGAAATAATTTTTTTAAATGTATCTCTCTCAAATTTGCTGATACTTTAAATCTCCCGTACGTGTTTGTCATTGATTTCT